ACAGTGCTATACCTAACATGACGTCTTCTTCCTCGACGAGTGGTCTCACCATGTCCCATTATAGGTTCACCCAGCTCTTCAACAACCTAAGAATAATAGTCATTGAGATTAGGACATAATAGCAGAGGTCTCGGGGCATACATATGATAATGATGAACACTACTAAGCTGATTTTCTTACCTCACTGTTTGCAAGTACTTGTTTTAAGGCGTATGAATACACAGTATTTGGACTGAAACCAAGGAATAGTTCACTGAATACATACCAGATTAGGGCACCTGAGGAATGACAAAGTCATTGTCACTAATCACTCATTCATCATAATAACTGATAACTGTCACAATACCATCAGCATCAACTGTAATCATCATCATTAATCTATGATCTCAGGAACATTCACCACAACTTTATCAATATGGTTGATTTCATTACCAGTGACAGCAAAGCCAACAAGAATGATACCAAAATACGTGACGTCTTTCCCTGCCTGGACAACTGTTGGCAGAAAGAGGAATACTATAAGAATACTTTACCACCAATGCATGTCACATCGGGATACTATTATTGTATACCTTTTGCACCAACTGTTAGTTGCGTCTGTGGTTGTTCCTTTGCTTCCATCAAGTCACTAAATACGCTACYGTCGCTASTCTCTTTTTTCTTCTCTGAACTCGCATTTGACATGCATCTCGCGAAATTTTTGCTCACTGCAGAACTTATACAAATTTTGTGACCCAAAACATTTTCGTTTACTCTTGAAATCCACCTGTATGCACATGGATTTGTTATCGATGCACTCCTTGAATTTACAGCTGCGTAGGTAACAAATCTTTGAAGAATTTTGCTATGTTTTATTTTGTTTCCGAAAACCAGCACTCGAGCCGCCATTTTGAAATTTACACGGAAAGAAGCTGGGAACGAGTCTTCATCTATGGATGCTGCAATGATTCACGGGATTTATGAGATAAAAGAATTAACTTTTTTCATATTAATTATATATTATTATAATTTTGTTTATTTTTTTTCGTCGAAATTGACACAAATAGGAAAATTGAAGGCAAAAAGAAGAAGAAAAAAGATGGAAATGTATTAAACTTTACTAAGAAAGTATAGGACATGAGACTCGAACCCTGCATTCTGGATGATCCATTGTGAGGCACCCCCCGGAAACAAAATAAAAAGAAATGAAAAACGAAAAAGGAGGGACGATTCCCCCGAGACATTCTATGAAGCTGAGGCGTCGAATCGGYTTACGWTACGKTTAGAGATTTCGGCTCTTCCACGCTATCCCGAGTGCACATAAAACTTAGTCTTAACCAAAAGGCCAGGGAGTGAGGGGGTAGCCGCCCACTAGAGCATACCTTTAGCTACCCTCTTAGACCATCGTACTATGAAGTCACTGTTAAATATCTAATATCAAATGGGGGTAGTCTATTCGGTGAAGTTCTAATGTTATGGTAATAGTGACGTCAATACCCCAGGGATCTCKACGACCAATCAGATTTTAGTGTGTCTTGGACCTCGGATAACACTGTTCATCATTCAAGGTATAATATTATTCATATTAACCAACCTATCATAAAGAGGAATGCCTTCCCATGGGAGTAACGACTGCAGTAACATAAACACGTTGACGCTCAATTTGTCATTTTCATTGAAAGAGGCAACAAAAGGGAGGCAAAGATTGAAGCTTGAAGAAACTGCTGGACAATATGTTTGCCGTTTTGACCTAAATGTGTTTCATTTCATCGTAGGTATTGTACGTATTTTTAAGTAAAAAAAGTTTAAAAAAACTAAAGTTAGAAAGATGTTTAAAAGTTTAAAAACTCGCTAAAAGTCAAATATTTAAAGAATATGTCTTGTTCGTGAGCCGGCTCTTGCAGTTCTCGCTTACTAGTATTATTATAAGTAGTAATATCAACAGTTAACTCTAATATAGGTGCTCGGTAAAGCTTAATAAAGCATGCACGATTTATATTCCTAGATCATAATTAGTAACTATGCCTAGATTTTGGGAAGCGCTGGATTTATATCTGRAAAGACGGTGCAACAATGAGCTTCCGCAGACCGAAATGTACGCGGGCTTTTATCGGTAGGCGAGATCGTCGTCTATGGAATATTCATTTTAGGGTTTTGAACAGTGGAAAAAATATGATAGGAGAAAAATATACAAGTATCTTTCGACCTATGCGTTCTATATATTATATACATATTCCTTTTTGACATTCAGTGTAAATTAGTTGGAAGATCCCATAGTGGAAACGAAAAAAGTATATTCGTGTATTGCATTGTAATAAGGCATAAGAATATTACTCAGGCAACCTCATACATTGTCTTTATATTTTGTTGAATAACTTTTTGAATAAACCATAGTTAATATTAACTATAAATAAACTGAATATAAAACTAAAGCTCTGTGGAAAAAGTAAGACTCTTGTCTTTGCTTAAGGAGTGGCACTCAGCGAAACATGAACAATATAACAAAATATATTCTTTTCATTGATTTGATAACCTGTTTACGTCAGTCAAGACTACTATTTTTSTRATCATTTTTTCCACCCTTTTATGACAAGAGATTAGTTTTTCTCATCGTTTCTTGAAGTCATTCGTTATGACTAATCCGCAAGGTCAATAGATTCATTTTTCACGTGCTTTTGAGCTTTGAAGTGCGGGCATATGACATAAAAACCCGAGTCAAAGAGGAGGTCCATTAAGAGTTACTCGACGCAACATCAATCATATGGAGTGTCGCTCAAGGGTTTTGATATTCCTTTAACTAAAAAGAAATATTTTCTAAGCACTCTTTAGTGTCATTGACTCCAAACAATAGAGTCTTGACATTCTTTGGGTATACACAACAGCAGATACTGGTTTTTCTAGATTTTTCCAGTGATAATAGTGCTTGTCATTTTTGAGACAATTTGGGAGATTTACACAGGTCGGTTCACGTCTAACAGAGGTGTAGACAGTTGAAGGCTGTCTGTATAAACGATCCTTGGCTGACCTTTTATCTCTAATCGAGGGCGTTGTTCACACTTAGTGTCTGGATCAACAGAAACTCAAATATTTCACCTTCCTTCCTAATCCTGAGATCACAATATTTGTCACGCTTGTCCAAGTAGCGCTGCGATGAACATATCACAATATTTGTCACGCTTGTCCAAGTAGCGCTGCGATGAACATATCACAATATTTGTCACGCTTGTCCAAGTAGCGCTGCGATGATCACTAAAAGTAATATAAAACAACAATTGAGAACAGCACCGAGCTACAAAGGTTAAACTTCTGATACTATCGAAAGCCGTGGTTTCCAAAAACGTTCCTTGTGCCTACTTGAATGATTTCGTAATTTTACATCTTTTTTGTTCAAATCTTTTTTTGRTTTCTTTTTGTTGATTTTTTTTCCATCAGGCATCTCTTCAGCCTCGATGACAACCAAATGATTTTGATGTTCACGGACTGGTGTTGCTTTCAATAATGGTTCCATTTGAGGAGGGAAACCGTTTACGTATAAATGGGTTTTATTTGCTGGACGTTTTTTGTTATCTTCCGCGTCCGCAATTCGATCCAACTGATCTCCAACTGAGACTTGATCGGAGTCATCCGTGTCTTCTAAAGGTTGAACACGATGATATGAAATCAATCTCTTGTTGTCATGACGCTCGATTGCTCGTTCGAATTCCATTTCGTAATCACTATCTATTCCATGGCAGCTTTCTTCATCAGATSTGAGACGTTTGTAGTTRTGATTAGCGTCACGTCTTCGCGCCAGCTCCAGGTCGCGATAAAAGTCTCTTCTGCCTCGAGCTGGCAGCGTTTGTACACGTCGATCAAGTTGCGAGTCGCTAGAATGCCGCGCAGGACAATTAGCTTTGCGCGCAAATTCAAAGTCAAGCGGATAATCACGTCGGCCTGTGTTTCCTGGTAAATCCTTACGGTCAAAAAGAGGAGTACTGTTAGCAGAATGAACTAATACTCGCTCACTTTCCGTACGTGCAGCTTGCTCCAAATCGCGATAAAAATCGCGACGTGCGTTATTCTCGCGAGGGAATCGCGATGGAAGTGTCATATTCCGCGCACGAGAAAGTTGAGAATCACTTTGGTGCGAGATGAGTCCCGCACAATGCGCTTTATCGCGCAAACCCTCGCGCTCAAGCTTCAATTCCTGGTGGAGTCGAGGATGGTGACGATCACGATGACGAAATCTATGATGATTGACGTCATGTCGAAATGAGTGACAGCTTACTGTATCAGCATCGGCAGTACGTCGGTTGAAGCTATTGAAGGTTACTGGTAGAGAAACAGTTGTATCAAATGAAGCAAGCGATATGTTCTCCATCGACGGAACTCGACGAAGCTGGTGAAAGTCATTTTCAATTCCTTCGTGTTCACTGTCAGATGAATCGCCATTGTAGATGTGTGGTATAACAGATGGTAACGTTGTCTCGCCGTGTTTATGTTTCAACGATCCATTAGCGCKGGACCGTTTTGATTGACCACCAGCGCGAGACGAACTACGYGAAGGGAGTGTATRTGATGACATTTTAAGACTARCACGCTGCTTTCTTGTTGATCCACCATGTTCTCGATAAGATTCATTAAAACTGCTCTGTGATTTAATACTATGYTTGCGCGCTTTGGATTTGAGATGGTCAGTGTATGTATTCATTAATAAGATGTATATAACCAGTGTACATGTGATACAAGCAATATATCCACCACCAAATACTACTATAAAGAACCATATCCGAGGCTGACAGTTCCAGGTTGATGGAAAATTGTTTATATAAAGATACTCATTTGACCTCCCGGACACTTCTACTATTGTCTTCTCTTTTGAATTGAAAAGAAGCCTCGCTTCGCACGGTTTTCCCGCGGCAGCGTCACAACGCAGAATAGGATTGGATAMATCGAAAATACGCCGCGAAACAGATAGATTTACCAACAAATCGATCACACGTGGTAAAACTGATATGCGTTTAAACAAAATGTAGTAATTCTCATCCTGGCTGACATTGTAAACATAAGAAATTCGTGTTCTTTTGTCTTTTCCTCTTTTATTTGTCTTGGATTCATGCTCAAGCTTTTGTTTTCCAATCCATCCATCAAAGTTTGATTTCCCCTTGAAAATCAAAAGTTGAAAGAAACTTTCAGAGTTTGCTTCAACCWGAATCTTTGATCCTTTCAAGAGGTAGAAAGCCTTGTACCAATATTTATGTGGTGGGATGAAGATATCCAGGGTCACATTTGATACGCGTGCCTTTTTGACGGCTCTWACTTCATCCACAACAGTTAACGTTTGTGGTAACTTSGACGCGTGCAGTGAGATTCCTTCACAGAATGTAGTTGATACAGTTATAAGCCTCATATCTCCCTCACCAAGATCGTAACTTTTAGGAAAGATAGTTGACGAGTTGAAGACTTGAATAATCAAACAGCCCACAACGAACAAAACAGCGATCATTGCCAGAAACGAGCATATAAATACTCGAAGTCGAAACCGATAGTAAAGCATGTCTTTATGATAGCTGCATGTGGTCGTTGAATGYTCTTCTCTTTCCATCAGTAATTCTWTTAGTAATACACACAGACCAGTGTTCACAATAAAACTGATTTTCGTCGTGTCGACCGTTTGAAGAGGCCTATTTTCTTTCAGCTCATTAGCGAAGATAAACGACGAAAAAACGAGAGAAGGGTCAGCTCGGGTCAGGTTCAGCCGTGTAACACWTCAGTTACGTCAGTTACTCATTACCAAAGAGATTTGTTACCTGACACCCAGAGTATTTAAACACTTTTAAATGCCTGCATTCCTTTTTCTCTAAAACAGTCATTCTAGTCCTTTGATCATGCTTATAAACAAAATTTKTCATGTGCGTAAAAATAGATTTTTCGCTGAAATATAAGCGAAAGTCTTCACTCGTGTTTTGTTATCGAAGTGGGGAAATTTGTTTGGGTTAAAAATAGTTGAGCGGAAGTGATGTCATAGCTTTATCAGCAAACATCAGGTGTCTATCTAAAAGATCACTTACACTGGAATGTACCACACTTGACAGATAGCCATCAGAGATGTTTATATTCTACTTTCTGCGTCATATAGGACATATTAGCGCTCTACTCTGGTACAATTTTTAATGCAGCCTTACCWTGTTTCTTGGCCGCACGCTGCTTACATGTTGCATCGCGTTCAAAGTCAGTTGGCTTCTTACCACGTATATGTCACTGTGTTGTTGGACAACGGCCATTATGGTATCCTCGGAACCCAGGGCGTTATCTTCTACGAACTGCTCGGGATCGACTGGTGAATACGTCTGGGTTCCCGAGGATGCCGTTATGGGTGTTTGTCACTCTTCCTGGAATTCCAAGAATTTCGGCAACTCCCTGATTCCCAGATGATAAGATACTAAATAGTCCCTTATTACTCAAAATGACGCAATATTTGCAGCGTCGAGTCCGAAGCTGCACCAATGGATGCCACTGCGCTCCTAAACAGAGGAGTATCCTCTGAATTCAAATCAGAAAAATATCAAATTTATCAACACTCTACTTGTAGCTATAGCAAAAGGTAGGTATAATTCAGAGAATCCGGAATCCAGGAGCTTCGAATCCGGAATCCAGGAATGCTTAGGATTCTGTGTCATGTGGCAAAGTTTTTAGAGGCGTGCGCAAAGAGGTTTTTATGTAATATAAAACTGCCCGTAATATCGAGATGAAAGGTGCCCTTAATGTAGTAAAGGTGACCGTAAAGAAGAGGCTTCACGTTCAAGCTTCTCACTGACAAATGCAAGGCCTGGCATCATGGTTTTGACGTCACTACCCGGCATTAATCGTCATTGCTCAATATGGCCGACACGAGGTTGTATGATCTACTTGGAGTCTCTCGAAATGCTAGTGATGCTGAACTAAAAAAGGTATATATTACTAATGTTGTASAAGTTTTCAGTCAAAGGATCATTCGGCTATCTATRCTGTAAATGTTTGTCGAAAAAACGGWCGAAATACTAAACTAAACGCTCTATTTCATCAAGGCCTACAGGAAGCTGGCCAAAGAACTTCATCCCGATAAAAATCCAGAAACTGGAGAAAAGGTAAAACTCGTTTAAAGTATTGTTCGGTCGATTTGTTTTAATAAGCGATATGTTCATTTTAGTTTAAAGAAATCAGCTTCGCATACGATGTCCTTTCAAATCCCGAAAAACGAGATTTATACGACAGATTTGGCGAGAAGGGCTTGCGTGAGGGGGTCGGAAGTGCAGGTAAGTTATTCATGGTAATAACTCGCACGTACTATAATAAATAACTCTTATATATTGCTTCTTRTTCATATTCTGCAAATTATGTAATATACATCAGTGAATATTGTGCCTAGTCGAAGCTTGCTTGAAAAGTATAAAAGAATAGTTAATGCGACTCATAAACGACTTGTATACATTGATTACATTATGTAACACTACTGTCCCAAAAGCTGGATGGATATCATTTATAAATTGCACTTACTGCTCTTATTTTCTGAATGAATCAATAAAGCTGGAATAAGAATTTGTTTGATGATTTGTGAAAATAGAATCAATTGTTGTTTTTTTTTTAACTAGCATAATGCTTCCAAATAGAGCAAAAATCTTGTCTTCTCAAGATGAAGTTGCTYTGGCATCATGTGCAGGGTCTATATTGAGCATTAAGTGTATTTGATATCTTGTTGTCAATCAAAGTGTTTGAAAGAAATGATTTAATTTGAAAGCTGTGTTTTTAGCACTTCTCTGGGTGATACTTGGAAAATCTCCCTTCTATCATTTCTCATACTATAGGTATTATTAGATTAGTAATATGACCAGTAAATATATGTTACTTGTAGGAGGTTTTGATGACATCATATCACATATCTTTGGAGGTGGTGGATTYGGTGGTGGTTTGTTTGGAAGTGGTAAGTTACTAGTAATGTCCTTTTAACACTTCACTTAAATACTCTGCAAACTGATATGTTTTTGTAGTCCAACATAGCAGAAGTTCATTTGTAAGTTATTTAAAATATCTTTGATGTTACTTCTGTAGGTTTTGGGGGGTTCAGTGGGATGAGAARCAGACGACGAAGAGGAGAAGACATGTTTCACCCATTAAAGTAAGAAATTGTGATTGTTTTTGTCATTTGTAATTAAAGTAATAAACTTGATAGGTGTAATTTGAAATTTTCTTTGAAAGTTAGATAATGAAACTTTTATTTGTGATTGCATTTCTTTGTTGTGTCATTATTTTCCTATTTCCCTTTGCTATTCCTTGTGGCTGAACTATTATCTGTAACTTATACATTATTTATGAGTTGTACAATGTATTATGATTAATAGTAAAACTAGTAGAGTTTGAGCAGAAGATATTTATCTGTCATAATCAGTAAGCAGATAAATCATCATGTAAATATAGATCTTTTTGGATGAAAATTGATTCCCCTTCCATATAAATAATCATTATTGTAATGTATAACATGCATATCATTCTCAAAGTTATGAGTTAACCTGTATATCAACTTATGATATTTTAATACTCTTTAGGGTGACACTGGAAGATCTATATAATGGAAAATCAACAAAACTTCAACTAAGCAAAAATGTAATATGTCCAACTTGTGAAGGGTAAGATGAATTAACTGGTAGATTTTYCTTTAATATTTGTTCTTTGTGAAACAAAGGGCATGAAATAARAGRTTGTTATTGTATTGACAGTGTTGGGGGTAAAAAAGGAGCAATGCGAACATGTAGTGGGTGCAAAGGTCGAGGAATAAAAGTGACAATGAGATCACTAGGTCCAGGAATGGTACAACACATGCAGTCAGCATGCAATGACTGTTATGGAGAAGGTATGTATAATATTATATTTATTATTGCATTAAACCAACTGTTGGCTAAAACAGTAACTAGAAAAAAATAAGTTTTTGTGGCTTTTAATATGAATTTGTTCATTTTAAGGYGAAGTCATTAATCCTAAGGATAGATGTAAAAAATGTGAAGGCAAAAAAGTTGTCAAAGAAAGTAAAATTCTAGAGGTTAGTAACCACACAATTCAAAATAGGTCAAAACAAATACATTGTGATTAAATGTGCCTTGTTTTTCCTAGGTCCACATTGACAAAGGAATGAGTGACAACCAAAAAATAACTTTCCGTGGTGAGGGAGACCAGGAGGTAATACAGTCTCTAGAAGTATGAACAAAATGTTTCACACTGAAAATTCTTATAGAGGATGATATGATTATAGTCTTTCCATAACAATATCTAGTGCAAACATTGTCCATGCTGTAGGTTGTTATTTACTGTCTTCTGTGTTTAGCCCAATGTAGAACCAGGMGATATCATTCTKATATTGCAACAAAAGAATCATGATACATTTAAACGACAAGCAGAAGATCTCTACATGACTAAAGACATTGGATTRGTTGAGTCTTTATGTGGTTTTCAAATGGTTATCAAACACTTGGATGGCAGAGATCTTGTTGTAAACCAGCCAGCAGGGAGTGTYATTGAACCAGGTAACAAAYTCACYTCSTYGATTGTATAAAATTGTTGTAAATTSCTTCACACCAAACTCTTCTAAACAGGAATGGAATTTTGGMTGAATTGCTTGGTTTTCTAGGAATATTAAAAGACTAATATTGGGAAAGAAAAACAAAACCAAGCTCCTCTTTTGCTGTGCTTTATAAAAATAGTAATATTATTCAACCTTTCTAATGTTTAAGAACACTAAATTCCAGACAAGAAATACAGTTTTTGTTGCTAGAAATAAATGAAGATCTATCATAAGAGTTATCAGTTAGTTTAGAAATGTTTGCAAGAAATCAGGAATTAAATCATATTTGCAATGGACGTTGGTATATTTATCAATACTTTACTGCTATTTCAGGATGTCAGCGTGGAATTCTCAATGAAGGAATGCCAATGTACAGAAATCCACATGAGAAAGGAAATCTTTATATTAGATTCAATATCATATTCCCACCCAATAACTTCTTAGATACTGCAAAACTAAATGTAAGTTACATGTCAAATGCAARAAAAGGTTTCAATGTTATTGATAATGAGGGTTGTGATACTAATACTAATGATGATGATGTTATGCAGATAAGGGAAGGACTATCCCATTCAGTTAATAGTGATTATTCAACTAATRTTACATGTATCATGGTTGCCTTGACAGGATCTTGAACAACTTTTACCTGCTCGACCAAAATTACCGACACCAGAAGCAGGAGAAGATGTCATGGAAGTCGATTTAGAGCCTTATGATCCAAAGGCTGAGAACAATGATAGACGGCACCGCGAAGCTTATGATGACGACAGTGATGATGATGGTCCAGGACAATCACATGTACAATGTGCTCACCAATGATTGATTGTTAGATTTCATTATAAATTATAACATACAAAGGACAATGTAAATACACTCATTACAGGATAATCTTGGTGTGTATACTAGTTTTAAACCGTCATCTATCTGCCATCTACATTGTGTCTTTAAGTTATATTTATGTTTTWTACACCAAGCTTGAATTTCTTGTTTTGCTCTAGATGTTGTTTGTAGATTAGAAAAAACGAGACAGAAATAATTGTGAATTTAACAATTCCATTCTGTATTCTTATTGACAATGAAATTGACGTCAAAAATGCTCAAAACTCGAGTGGTTTCACTGCAAAGTTTTGAGCGTTTTTTTACGTCAATTTTATTTGTCAATAAGTTTACAGAAAATGGAAAACAGCCTGCAATTTTTTTTGTATAATAACAAGTAGATTTTTCCATTTAAATCATTGTTTATTTTGCAGAATTCTGCATAGTTTCCTAGTATAAATTGTTTTGCGTAACAAGCTTGACTGCTCTATGCGTCTTTGCAAGAAATCTACAAGTTATTATAAAAGGAATTTCGATAATGTTAAAAGGCTTTTCATTGAATATATGGAATTTAGGAGTTTTTGTAATCTATGGTCAACTTCACAAGATGTTTTTATCATGTTTACTATGAATTCATTACTGGTTGATATAATAACTTAATAGTATCTGCTTTTATGGCCTTTGACCTTCAATTACTTGTAATTCCTATTATTATTATTATTATTATTATCATCATCATCTGAATAAAATAATGATGAAATCATTTTAATTACTAAAATTTATGATGAATTTGTCAATTGCATTTAATTAATCTTGCAATATAAAATACAAACATGAAAAGCATACAAATACCTCTAGACTAGTCTCATTAACCCATACTTTTCAACATACTACTACACCTGTGACTCTTTTCTTTTATAATGTCTTCTGTATAAATGAATATTGATCACACTTAATCTGTGCAACTGTACAAACTAAATAGTTGTATTTAGTAAATCATGCATGYGGTACGTAAATTGAATTGATRCARATGAAGCATTCAATATCGTCTTTCTTCAGGTCCACTTTTAGTAWAAATTTGTACTGCTTAGATTTTGTACAGTTGCAYRGTTCAAGTGCAATCACTCTAGTGCTGAATGCTGCCATTTGGCTTTTAGTGTTTGTATCTGAGACTTGTGTTTCTCATTTTTTACATTTAGAGGAAATGGTGTATTAGATTAGCCCCCAGTTTTTACTAATTTTATTCTCACTGGTATTAGCTATAAGTTGATGCAGTGAATTCAATAATTTCTGAAATCAAAATAGTTCAGGTTTAGAGTGCATGTTTCTCTATATCCATGAAATAGTTTGAACTAACAATAAAATTGTGTGCTAAGAAATATAAAACATTGTTTGGCTGGTGAAATATTGACAATTTCTTCACAAAAGGGTACAGATTGAAATGTATGGTAACTGTTTGGGCTCCCTGTGGTGGACGTATGACGACTTCCGGTACACTAAACGTCACAGTTCTCGGCAGTTCGATAATGATGCTAGAAAACCTTAAGAAAGTCGCCATTGAAGCGATTGATAAATCATCTAAACAGCTGTTTGAGTTAAATCAAAAGATCTGGAAAAATCCCGAGCTTGCCTTTGAGGAGAAAACGGCCCACAATGTGTTGACAGAATTTCTTGAGAATGTTGGCTTTAACGTAACTCGTGGACCATATGGGGGACTAGACACTGCTTTCCGTGCAGTGAGCGGGAAATCGCGAAAACTCTCTGTTGGGATTGTTTGYGAATATGACGCTCTACCTGGATTAGGACATGCATGCGGGCACAACCTGATAGCAGAGATTGGAGTAGGAGCTGCCATAGGTAAGTGTTGAAGACATCTTCCTAAAAGAACGGAAATGTATCAAAGATCTTTTCTATTTTTGTCTTGTCCTACTTTATTCTAGGTCTAAAAGCTGCTTTAGAATCAACAGATGTTGAGCTTGGTCGAGTTGTAGTAGTTGGGACCCCAGGAGAAGAGTCCATGGGAGGAAAAATAGTCATGATCAATCATGGCTGCTTTGAAGATGTTGACCTGTGCATGATGGCTCATCCTAAACCCTTCAACTGCATCTATCCAYCCTGTCTTGCRTGCCGTCAAGTTAAGGTAGACTACTTTGGGTATGCRTCACATGCTGGTGCATATCCATGGGAAGGCGTAAATGCTCTTGATGCTGCWGTCATGGCGTACAATAATATCAGTATGCTAAGACAACAAATGAAGCCAAGATGGAGAGTCCACGGAGTGATAACCAATGGAGGYTCCAGACCCAATGTCATTTCTGATAAAACAAGYCTATGGTTCTATGTAAGGACTCCAACTGAGGATGAAATGAATGTGCTTGTTGAGAAAGTAAAAAATTGTTTTGAAGCAGCTGCTAAAGCTACAGGTATAGATGATGAGTTTTATAGTGTGAGTTACAGGGGAACTGGGTTACAGGGCTGGAGATAGAGCAGTATAGAGAAGGAGGGGTAAAAGGTTGGGAAAGTAAATAAAATGGGTGGAGCAGGATAAAGGGGTATATGGGTGGAGAGGTAAACGAGATGTAGGGGAACAGGTGTGGAGGGATACAAGAGTGGCTGGATGAAGAGAACAGGGTTTTGAGGGATGAAGGTTGATATGCATGTCAAGCCAGTTAGTATAAGAATGAAATTAGATGAATGATACTGATGAATGAATGTATGATTCAAGGTTGTTCTGTGAAGCTTGAATGGAATGAAAGACCATATTCAAAYATGATAACTAATGAGGTGATGGCTAAACTCTATCAAACCAATGCTGAGAACCTTGGCTTAACGTTTGAATCAARAGAAGATCAGGAAAAGATGGCTGTAGGATCTACTGACATGGGTAATGTTTCACACATAAAACCATCCATTCATCCGTTTTATGACATTGATACAACTGAGGCCAACCACACAGCCCCTTTCACAGCAGCCAGTGGGACAATACCAGCACATAACATGTCRATATTGCAGTGTAAAGTCTTAGCTATGTTGGCACTTGATGTAATGTGTGATAATAGCCTTATGAGAGAAATACAAGCTAACTTTGACAGGGCTCACAAATCAAGTTGATTGTGTTTCATGAGTTAATTTCTTGATACATTACCTGTTATTCTACCAATAAAAGACAATACTTTATAAATAGACAAAAAAGTCATGTTTTTTATTAGATAACATACATCTAATTTATTCACTTATGCAAATTAGTGCTTTGAATTGCTTTGTATAACAATAATGTGAATACCGGTACTTAAATAATTTTTGTCAAYTGTTGCTCCATGATTGAAACTTTGAAGTGACAATTGTCTTTGTGCATTTGTGCCTAATCTGTATTGCATATACAAGMAGAAAATCCTTAGTAATAGAGTATGTACTATTAGATATAGAATATAAAAACAGTATTTAGTTGCTCTTTTGTTGTCCAAAGAATAATTATATGTGCAAGCTTGTATTTTCTTAGAATTTATAGCTTACTAACTGTGTTGGTTATTGTCATYATTCTGAAATAAAAGTTGTGGTAAAAGGTAAGTTGTGCATTATTTTTTTKGGKTTCTACTCAAGACAAGTCATTGGTTTGATTGATTTTAGCGTTCTTTGATGCTATCGTACAAATGTTCCTCACTGTCAATGTTCTCATACAATGGAGGTACAACATTACTCATGCTGTCGCTAGAACTACTGCCTAGTACATTCTTGTCTTTTGCAAGGCTGAGATGAGACACTGCTCTTGGAACAGGCTTTGCTCCATCAGATTCGTATCCTTTATTGTCTTCTCCATCAGTGTCTGATTCAGAGTCATCAAGGATAAGTTTTGGTGCATCAGGGCTTTCAGGCTCTGTTTCTATACCAGGAGGAGGGACAAACGATGTTTGTGCCCAGTGATAGTTAGTAAAATTCCTCTCATTKATCTTGGGCATGGTTTCATGGCTCATTTCATAGTTAGTAGGTGCAACCTTTCTTGATGTTCCTAGAGCTGCAAGAAGTCACAGTATTTATATTTTATCTTGGAATATAGTTAAAGGTGACCTTCTCAAATGATGTTGTAGTCTTGGCAAGTGCAAAGACATCACTTAAAAGTGAAAAATCATAAATATGCTATTGGAATTGATTAATTGCTGACTGGTTAATTGGATTTTTTGATTGAYAACTGATTCATTGATAGACAACTGATTGGTTGATTGACAACTGGTTGATTGATGATTAATTGCCATTGCTTATTTGATTGTTTCATTTACTAGGTGGTTGGTTCAGATTGCACCAGATGGATTGATTAGTCAATATTTCATCAATTGCATGTTTAAGCCATTGATTTAATTATTATATGCTAACCTGCCATTGGAACTTCTTCTACTTCTTTCATCCTGTCTTTATCTTCTCTTTCTTTCATTTTCTTCTCGTACTCTTTAGGAGTCATACTATTGTACTTGGTAAACTTTTCCTTCTTTAGCCAGTACGAGTGGACAATGCAAGAAATACATATGCACAGAACGACTGCTAAGACCACAAATGCCATGGTAAACATTAGTGGACGATAGTCGAACTCGAGCTTGAAACGTTCACGTGTTGTTGGAGGTACAGTTGTTGGAGTGGCAATGAYAAACGTAAGATTGCCTACCGATACTCCAATRCCAGCCTTTGATGGCACTAGCTTAGTTCCATCGGMAAAATTGATGACAAGGCCCTTTGACGATATCATGGAATTGAAAAGATTTTTCTTTTCATCAAGTGTGCTTGAGTTGAGTCCCGTGATGGTGAAAATGATAATGATACTACCACATGTCACATTGACTTCTTTGATTTGATTTTTTCCAACTGATAATTGCTGAGCTATCGTCCCTGTTGTCTGATTAATCAATTCTTGCTTTTTATCTGTATTGATGATGGACTGACAGTCTCCAGGATATGTGATAGAACATTGTAATTTACCTAATAATAGAGAGTTATAAGTTGCTTTCTTGTTTTATTAGTACCATGGGCGGATCTTCCCCCAATTAAATGTTATGGACTCTTTTGGTTATTTAACCTTTCATCCTTAACAACTCAAATCACCAGAATGAGTGCGTTAGTCAAATAAACAACTCACTAATAATCAATAACCTTAAACGCAATAGTGGTTGGGAAACGCTTTGAAGAAAAAAGCAAAACGAAGAGAATTGAAACATACCATTATTGCCGGATGCTTCGCTGGAGCTTGTGGTGGCTGGAATAGAAGCATTTGTCCCTGATTCTGTGGGAGCAGTCGTCGCTGATTGGCTAGAAGAAGTTGCAACCGATTGGCTAGGAGAAGCCGTTACTGATTGGCTAGGAGAAGCCGTTACTGACTGGCTAGGAAAAGCCGTGACTGACTGGCTAGGAGAAGCCGTTACTGATTGGCTAGGAGTAGTAGACTCAGATTGACGAGAAGCAGTCGGTGYTCGTTGACYGGGGGTGGCCGTTCCTGATTGGCTGCGAGTAGTCGTCACTGTTTGAGTGGGTGAAATACCTACAACTTCAGTTGGAACTATGCAAACAGGTCCTAGACTTGTGCAGTTGCAGTTTGCCAAAGATCGATTTTGTCCTTTTTCCTTGGGCACAACCATGAGTGTGCAGCGCGATGTATCCCAATGTTTAATGTCGTCTCTCCATAAAGCACACTATGAACACAGCCAAAGTCAATGACATGCAAAGGTGCACCGACACGCTGTTATTTATTATGATACAAGCAATCTTGTGTTCGTATTGTATTCATTGTGTTTGGACGAGCACCGATCGGAACGGGTCTCATGATAGGTTGAGAAAACAATGGACAAACAATAGATAAGTCTTCCAACAATATAACAAAACCTAACCTAACAATAGTGGTGCTGTACTTAAGGAGCAATCAAAAAGCAGGTTTCAATTGGTACTGCATTACTGGTTTGGACTGTCTACAATCGTTGCCAAAATACCTTGGACCGTACAATTATTTGTCTCCAGCCTAACATTTTTCTCCTTTATTTTATCACAGTTTTCCCCCTTAGCCCCCTTTCATCAATGCTGGGTCTTGTTTTGGATGCTYGTGTACTATGGTAACATGATCAATGACAACATATTGCATTAAGGGGGTCAGGAGGGATGAAATTGTTTGCGGGTGTTGCTTAAAATGAGGAAATTCTCTGGAATGGTCCAAGGATTCAACGATTGTAGCTCATATCATCGTAGTTGGTCTATTGTGGGAGAAGGAATCTTCGTCTTACACATTAAGAACCCTACAGGTCAAAGAACATTTGTACCTTACCTTAAATCTGGAACTTGAATATTGACGATCACCTTTGTCAAATTCTAACTGTATGGCCATGACTGTTTGACTTGTGTCAGAATGGACTGGTGTGCTGGTAGTTGGGTTGAAGATTTGGACATCAATGACGTTGGACGARCAATTGGAAGAGGAATTGGACAGCAAATCGTCACGCATGCGTACTGATCCTATGCACACGCCTTCACAGCTATTCCYACGATAGAAATAAGGAAACATTTAATATGTAATGTTGATGAATCTGCTGCTATGTTGACTACTGTAATATAGTGATAATGATGGCGGAAGTAAGACCATCTTAGTCTTGTTGTAAGTAATCTCAAACRGTTTGTAATATCAGCAACAATATTGATACCAGCAAAGGCAGCTTTTCTCAAGTCTACATTTAGAAATCAGTAATGATAACAGTGCGTCAAAGATCATTAAGACTTACCCATTGTCCTGCGTGCAATTCCACTGAGAGTTATTGACCAGCACATCTTCCATAACCTTGTACTTGCCTACTTTGGAGCAGTTCTGACAAGGTACTTCACTAAGAGAGCYCGTAGTCTCGTTGCATGGTTTCCTTTGAACATGWAKCCAAGTATAAAGGCTTGATGATGCCGTCAATGGAGATCCTCCAACTGTCATGTTTTTACACATGGCTGGTATAAGATTACGCGCTGCCTTCACAAAGTTGCTTTTGTTTTTCATRTCTTCTTTGTTGAARGAGTTRAGTTGAAATGTGCCCTCATAACTGTTTAGGATTTTCTCAGCCTTGTAAATAAAAACACCTTGGTTTARTATTCGCAAAATGTTTTAACAGGTTTAAAAACCTTTTTAGACCATGAAAGCAAATTGGACTAAACGAATGCGCTAYATGATGGTGTTAWTATGAATTCCATGGAACGAGGTGATGCRCTGTAAAACTGTCACACAAATGATCTTCCWTCCCCTTCCCTTTCAATTCTGAAGAAAATCTAGTATCATKGACACTCTAAAAGTATACCATGAAACCATTTMAASAATCATTGACGGTTTAAAAAACCTGTGCTCTCAGKGTGCCTATGAAAGCAATCAATGACAGAAGTACATCAGTTGTTACCTGTTGGGGTGTTTTGGATCCTTCGCCGCATGATTTTGGAGGAGTTGATGGTGCTCGTCGTCTAGTTCTGCTATGAGCATCACATTTCCCCTGCAACGATGATGATGATTAGCTGTCTTATCCCCAGTCTCTCTCCTATTTCTCAAGGCATTATGGGCATACGTACAATGATGACGAGCATGGGAATGAAGAAAGACTGGGACTGAAGCCGGGATTCAAAAAGGGAGAATACTATTTATRATATGACATATTTTCACGATGAAATTATTATGATATTGATGTATTTTTGCGGAAAGACTTTATTATAATCCAGAAGTCTTCCTGAGAGATGATGCAATTGATAGTATTGCTCTTAATGTCACGTGAGTCGCGGGCCGAATGTAACTACAGCAACGAGGTGAATATAACAATGAGGAAAACATACTAATGTTGCTTCATATATCTTTTGTCGAGCTTAAGTGCTAATGCACAAAAAGTTCTATTAACCAAGCGGTAGATATATATTGTACTTTATCACAATTTGATATGTACGTCATGGCTACAAAGCAATATATTTTTATTTAGGAATGTGGATTGGTGTTCTYGGTGCCGCAAACCTATCATGAAAATACGCAGGGATGTTGTATAAATTATCGCTAGCTGACGAAAGAACTCTTTTAATGAAGAAAAATTCTCTAGATTGACCTATAAATGTTTTTGGACACCCTCAGCCAGTTTTAATGCGCTGAATATCAATTCTTCCCGGGTATCAAATCTATATCCCAACCTTTTTAGAGTGGTATTATTTTTTTAGGAAATTATTAATCAATTAACATTAAAGGGAGTTCCTTCCGAACTGCTAAGTCAAACCTGTTTTTTTGTTTTTTTTGTTTAATTGTTTCGTACGTGTTGAGAATGTTTTGGGAGTTTTGGTCTTCCTGTCATRATTACGACAGTGATGAGCAGGTGTGTAAGACTTCAAAAAGAGACTCGCAGTAACTCAATGTTTGACTTTGTAATTTTTAATAAATTTTTATAATCTCTGTTGTTTCAGTTTATAAAGAAACTTTTTAMTTTGTGAAAGTGCGACCCTTGAAAGCTCTGAGATCTAAGTAAGTTACCTCTTTATTGTCGCAGTTTTCGTGCGCTGACACCAGTCCTTCAAAGGGAGAGAAATTCATRTGAGAAAACAGAATATGAAAAATAAAAATACATGATTTGTTGTCAAATTAAACCTCTATGAAGTATGAAAAAAATGTACCAGTAGGTATAGGTTGATATCATGTAAATTATATTCGAACGGTACTTTTGTGAAGTTTTTCCGCTTAGACACATGTATGTTGTTAGGACTATTTCAACTACTTACCTTCCCAACAAAATAGGAAAACTATGAAAATAGCTAAATAAAGCAGTTTTGTCATGTTAGCGTTGTTTTTAGCCGATAATCTTTGCTACATTCAATGTTATTTCACATTTTTACGACCTTTACAAATCATTTATTATGGATGAAGCTCATTTTGAAGTCGAGGATTCTTTGAACGCCAATTGGTCCGAGCTATGCCAACTGAAGGGCAAATTCAAWTCYTAATGAATATTATTGATATTTTGCATCCTACACAACAGGATAAACAAGGCYATAGTGACGTAGTATGCGCACGAGTTTAACTTATACGTRGGAAACRCTMTCATGAAATGCTACKTTRATGCATTTATTGGATCAATTTAAATTTTGCTCTGAAAAGCGTCGAACTTTCCGCGAACCATCTTTGTACTTATTTCTGAGGCATTGTTTGTGTTGAKTTCGAGAACTGAATCTGTAGCTCGTTACCTTATATCATGTTCACTATGACTGCAGGATATTTTTCAGTTTTATTTTTTTTTTAACATAAACGGATATTTTACTTCCGGTCTTGAACAAAAAACTTTATTTTTAAAGCATTATGGTAACAAAAATATTYAATAATTTCACTTTACTAGGGATTATGGATATGCAAATTAGGTACCTGGTGGAACATGATCGAAGACGTGCCGTAGACTTCCCAAACCACAGGTAGCCCAAACTACCTGCTAGTGYTACCCATATTTCGGATATTTGTTGATCCATTCAAAACGACCAATTTTACGTATGCTCGAACTAGCAATATTGTCAGATTTAYTTAATTAATATATTTTTGTAACTTTTGTAGGTATTTTCTTTCTCGGTAATGTCTCGAACTTCTACGCTTGAAAATACACGRGGTTGCACGTGGTTGTGTATATATCGACGGGCTCAATAGCACAGCGGTTGAACCATTGTTTAGGGGAGGCGTAAGTATTTGAAAATCAGTATAAAAACTACACCTTTTTTAAGAAACGAACAAGCCTATTATTTAGACAACGTTTTATCAAAGGTACTTTAGATATAATTTTGTATGTTTTCTTTTCTTTAGTGCATTTCTTATAGTAAAGTAGCATTATGCAAATGAAGTACTTACCCCTACCCCGTGAGTACAAATGTCAACAACATGGCTGTCAAGTGACAAGTCCAAGTCAAGTCATTATCTATTTAAAGTATGTTTTTAGACAWCATCTAAGCTCTAACCAAGCCCAGTCGCATTGCATTTCTTACTACTAACAACGTTTTACCTTAAGAACTCAAAATGGACTTGAGTTTACATTTTGAAATTGAAAAATTAAGCGAGAAAGAAGTCAAAGAATTGGCGAAGAAAGCTGCCGAGTATGCCTACGCTAAAGGCATTATTATGAAGTCGAGAAAACTCCCAGACTTAGTTGAACATGCTCCTTTTGTGCTCTATCCTACGCCTTTTCCTAGAAGACTGTTCGATCAAGCAAAGGAAGTTCAAAGGGATTTTAATGTACTTGTTCATAAAGTGTCCTTGGACCATGACTTTCTGAAAGAGTCGCTGCAAGGGTGTGTATTGTTTAGGGTCTTCATTTTATATGATTACTGATATAAGTTTATAGGCATTCTTAGTTCAATAGACCTAATCGGCTTCAACCCAATTCAAACCACCCGGGAGTAAGTTTCATTGTTCGTTTTATTTTCATTTCACAGTTGAATTCTTAGAAACAAAAGTTCTTTTTCCCACATGATTTGAATTGGGTGGCAATGTACATAGCAACGCCGTAAGCCGATTAGGTCTATTGCACGAGCCAAAATAAGCTTGCGTCTATGTTATTGTAGCTATTGTTTGAGTGTATTAGTATTTTGTAGTCAATGTGTTTGAATGACAAGTTTACTTAAGCTTACTGCATCCATAATTCCTTTAAAAATTTGAATGCCAGTCTGAATATTGCTTATATAATRATTTAAAGGCTAATTTTGTTTAATTTTTCAATTCTCTGGGGAAAAAGAGTGATAATTAATAATTAATATCAACATAATCATTGAACCGACTCACCGKGCCCCACCTTTCTTTCTATTATGCATATTATAATTGTATATAATCATAAGAGTTTCCAACACTTAAATCATGCTACAGACAGTGATACAGTGATATGTTTAGAGATTAAAAACAACAATTCACTTGTATGTTTATTTTTATGATTTTATTTGAACATGAATAATAGTAATATGCTATTTTTTGCTTTGTTTATGTATAAATTCATTGGTKTATTATATTCTAAAGGACTGTTACTGTTGATAAGTTTACTGGAAGAATTTATGATATCTATGAGCAAACAAGGAAGGAAGGAATTGCACAGGTTGGTGTTTAGACTATKTTCTGTATTTACATTGTAAACATGGCATTAACGGGCATATTTGGAAAAGTTATTGCAATGAGATTATTGTTATTTTTTCAGCCAATTTCACTTGGATTGCTAAGATCAGACTACATGTTGGACTGTGAAAACCCCAATGACCTCAACAAGAAAAGTAGTTTTGAAAATATGAAAATAAAACAAGTAGAAATTAACACTATTGCATCATCATTTGGTTGCCTTGGTAGCAAGTTACCAGACCTTGGAAGGTAATTCTCATTTGAATCGACAATCTTTTTCTTTTAATCCCTATTCACTGACTGAGTATGTATTGATTTGTTAGCCTGAGTATCAGGCTCTCTCGAAGGGGTTTAGGGCGGAGCGAGAAAGGAGAGAGAGCCTGACACAATCTTCTATCGAGAGCCGTTCCGCCTCCTTGCAATGCGTGACGCGTGACAATAAATTTAAGCCAATTAAAAGCTGTTCCGGTTTGCTTGATTTCTCGATGTGGCGGTTATATGTCAAAATTTATTTGAAAAGTCGCAGCTTTTATGCCGATTTTTACCAGATT